ATTAGATCACGTTACTCTGATGATAGTGATAGATAGCCTATATGTCTGAACTCGATGTTTAGAGTAATGTGTTACGGAGCCTTCTCTTCAATATTGTTTCCACATAGAGCATTTTGCGCTGCTCTTTTCCAATGTCGAAGCAGAATGTGTGAAAGCATACAGCACGATGCGGGGTGTGTCTCTAGACATCTTTAGACTGGAATAACGGGGCCCAGTACGTGAACTCGCCTCGCAGCCGGTGCACACGCCAGGATAGAGGACATCAGACTCCATAGAAAACTTGCTCGAGTCCGAGTCCGAGTCCAAGTCGGAGCGTCAATGTACAAGTCGAGTCCGAGTCATCGTGGGGGGAAAAATGCACGAGTCCGAGTCCAAGTCAGCGTACGCGATAATTCACGAGTCCGAGTCCGAGTCCAAGTCATCGTGTGCGAGAATTCACGAGTCCAAGTCCGAGTCGCGTCAATCAGTGCGCGAGTCCGAGTCGAGTCACGAGTCCCGAAAATCGGCACTCGAGTCCGACTCGAGTCCGAGTCCAGGACTCGAGTACTCCATCTCTGGATTTTACTGCACCACACATAGGGTTGGGTATAGTTTGGATTTTAATGATTCCGGTTCTGCTTTTCGATTCCGGTTATTTTCGGTTCTCGATTCCGGTTCTTTGAGAAGGTAAAAATAAGTCCCATGACAAACTGGGAGAAAAACATATTTATGAAAACATTAAGTCAAATCTGTATTCCTATTTACAAATCACTTCATACTGTTTAATTTCTTACGGTTATTGAATAAAATGATATAAAAATAATCTCTGCATTGTTTAGTTAGTTCTATGTGGTGCAGTTTGAGAATGTACAATTGGCCAAGTCTCCTCTGATGTTACACTGCAACCTGCCTGTGAGACTAAAGAAAAGTAATCTTCATGAAATGTACAAGTTTGTATTTCATGTAAAAGCATTCTAAAAAGCAGGTATTACAAAAACCACCCATTTGATTTTGTTAGAGGAAGGATAGATTAATATTGCTGACACACAAGATAACAGGTTAGGTGAATATTCGACAATACGACATACAGTTCCCCATAACCTCAATCAGTAACCTGTTCTGTGTGATTACGGCATTTGGTTCACCATCTGTCACTTTAAATGTAGCATTCTGCCACCAGGTGGTGCTACTGTTACCTCACCTCCACTTTAGACAGATATTTGTACCTGAGTGGGTATCCAAACTGTTGGACAGACTCTCTGAAGAATGCCAGTGTAGTAGAAGAACAGTTGTAATGTGTGTGTGTGTGTGTGTGTGTGTGTGTGTGTGTGTGTGTGTGTGTGTATTTACCGCCATCTGCAGCATTCTGTAGAAAAGCCATTTCCTGTTGTCCACAGTGACCCCTGGGAGGTCCCATGTGAGTGCCAATGCTGTGACATCCTGCCTGTCAGACTCAATGAGCTGACTTTCTCCATCAAGCTTTGGTAATCAAATAATTATAATCAACGGATTCATTGATATTTAGTCAGTCTAAGGGTAGTAACTCAAACAAAGTAATGCGTTACACATTACTAGTTACTTAAAAAAGCAGTAATCCCTTACTTTACTTAGTAACTCATTGCTGAAAGAAATTACTTAGATAGTCGAAGACCTTAAAAGTAACGCAAGTAACGAGATAATTTTGTGCTTAGTAACTGTAATGTAAATACTACTGAACCAACAGTAACCAGTTAAACTACTGCGTTACAGATAAAATGTAATTTAGTGGGAATGCTGATACAGCATTCCAACTATATGTTATTCTACGGACAACATTTGTATTATTCCGCCGGAATTTTGCACCTCTTCTCCTCCTGCATTCAACATCGCAGAAACTCCGTTCAAACATCAAAACGTTCAGCTCGGTCGGGAATCGATGGCTATTACTTATATCATTCATAACTTTCATAATTCCAGAGATACATCCCATAATTCATCATATTTCTAACCATTGAAGTCAATGGAGAAAATCTTCAGACTTGAACAATCTTCATGCGACTTCAACTGTTAACTGTTCATTCATACTTTCACTCAGAAACCTCATTCCAACTTTAAAATGTTACACATCTTTCTGACATTATTCGTGTAACACAACTTTTAAATCAGATTCTTACTTTTAGAGATATTAAACATTGTTCAGACCTTGGTAAAGAGGCTTTCTTCAGATTTTAACATTAACTAGAGTGTGTGATGTCACAGCTAGAGGGTAGGAAATCTTGAAATGTGCCTTCATATCTTTTTTTAAAACTGCCATAATTCCCAAACCCTACATTCCTGATACATAATTGTTCATGACAAACGTAGGAAAACATCTCGTAGCTTGAAAAATGACAAATAATTAAGCAAAAATAATTAAACAAAATGCCTCTTGAGGGCATGAAGTGACAAAAACGTTCAACATGTCTCCATTAAAACCCATTGTAATTTCAGGCTGATATTTCCTCACAGCAGCAGCCGCACACCTTTAGTTAAACTGCCAAAAAGGCCACATTATTAACCCGAAAGTACACAAAAATTACACTTCAGATACTCAACTTCCTTGACATGCTTCACGTTTTGAAATTTCACAGATATCTGTTATGGTTCTTCCACAAAATGTTCACATGTAAGAGGTTTATCTCATTCAGAACAATGCAAACCTTTGATCTCTACAGAGCTCGTTAGCTCAACTATAAACACCTGTGTAATGGAACACGATGATGTCATCACTCCAACTGACAGCAGTCAGTTCTAACTGTTCATTTCATACTCATTCTCTCTCTCTCTCTATCGCTCTCTCTCTCTCTCTCTCTCTCTCTCTCTCTCTCTCTCTCTCTCTCTCTCTCTCTCTCTCTCTCTCTCTCTCTCTCTCTCTCTCTCTCTCTCTCTCTCTCTCTCACAAAGACACAGTCTCTCTCTCTCTCACACAGTCTCTCTCTCTCACACAGTCTCTCTCACACAGTCTCTCTCTCTCACACACACACTATCTCTCTCTCTCTCTCTCTCTCTCTCTCTCTCTCTCACAAACACACAGACACACACTCTCTCACACACAGTCTCTCACACAATGTTCCAAATGGAAACAGTCCGATCGTCCCCCAAACTTCGCTTGTATGTCACCGGTCCAGCCCTCAACAGCTCTACGTCAATTGCTTTAAAAACACATAACCCTCTTAAATTATAATGTCCTTTTCTTAATTTAAACATATTTAGAATACAAACAGGCAGGCTTTTGCTCCCAACACGAAAAACTATTTCTAAAGTTTTACTGTAAACCATATCTGCGAATTTTAAGGTGCAAGACTTTATGAATAATGGATTGGTCGATTCAATTCAATGTTCAATCAAAACATTATTTGTGTAAGGTACAGTATTGCATTTTTCAGATAAAAAATGTAATAACAATAATTATGAAACTGAGAGGGGTGAGAGGGGGAGAGGGAGACACACTTACCAATCGCAAGATGCAGCCTGTGTCCAAAGCACTGAAGCCTTGTCCAGTGATTCAGTTCCACAGCTTTTACAACATTGGATCCGTTATCAGTGGTGATGCACGTCTGATCCTCTTCCTTCAGACCCTAGTTGGACAAGGACTCTCTTAGTCAATGGGCAATATTCTCTCCCGTGTGTTCAGCAGGAAAGTATACCGTTTGCAGGCAATGACTCTTCAACTCAAAGTCGTAATTTATGAAGTGCACGGTGAGACTAAGATACGGCTCGGTCGTTCTGCTCGACCACAGATCGGTTGTTGTTGCATAGTACTCGACATTTTTCAGCTTCGTCTCAAGTTTATTCCTACATTCCGTGTACATTTCTGGGATGGCCACATGACTAAAGTACGTGCGGGAGGGAATCGCATATCTTTTATCCAGCGTTCGGATTAGTTTTTTAAACCCTTCGTTGCTCACAGTGTTAATAGACACCATGTCTTTAGCGAGGTAGAGCGTTACGGAATTTCTTATCTCACGGTGCCTTCGTGAGCCCTTTTCATACGGCGTAACAGCCGCAAACGACTCACACTAGTTTGCTTAACCTCTTAAGCCCTGAGCCTGTTTTTCAGGTCTCAGGCTCGAAAATGACATTCCCAGAACAAATGACCATATCTTCCCTTCTAAAAGGGTTAAATTAATAATCTTTATTCTCAAAGTAATGATAAACCTGTGAGTTGGATGTAGAAGAGTCAGAATCAATATAGATGTTTTTTATTTTAAAGAAAATTCAGATTTTACATAGTAAAAAACTGTAAATTATAGTGTCCGTCCAAAAATTCTTTTTTACTTATAGTGAAAACTACCCTTGGATGATGGGTTAGTAGACTAAAAGCTTTAGGAATCCAAAGTACAACATATAATAAGTACCCTGTATCAAGATTGATGCAAAACAAGTGAAATTTGACCTTTTTAGAGAGATTTAGCCAAAAAAACCCACTTCTGGGGTCATTTGGGTGGATTTGACCTATCTCTGGCCCCCCTTGCTCGATTTTGATGAATGAAATCTCTTTATAACCGCTAGAGCCAATGGAATCGAGGGAAAGTTATATACACACCAAAACGTTAACAAATAAGGAGTGAGAGTGACGCGTTACCAAAACCGGAAGCTGCATACACTCTGGTGGCTACCATTAGCAGCTAACTTTTCCGCTCCGATTTTTACATAAAAAATGGAATTATGGATTATAAATAATTTTTTCAAAGGCACAGGTACATTATCAACCTATGGATCAACAGTTGTAGCATTTTTTTCGTTTTAATGCCATTGAACACGTCTTTTGACCTAATTGACAGCTACGTGTCACGGTTTAGGATTGTTTTCATTTTCCACCTTTTATTTTGAAATGTTTTCCTCCTTGTGTCTAGTCTGATCCTTCTTCCTGTGTTTGCCTTCCTGTCGTTAGTTTCCCTGGTGTGTCTGATTGTCTGATTGTGTTCACCTGTTGCCCTTGTGTTTCTGCCTCCCTTACCCCAGCTGTGTCTTGTCTTGTGATTACCCCTCTCTGTATTTAGTCTTGTCTTCCCCTGTGTGCTTGGTCGGTTCATTGTTGGTTTTTCCTGTCTCCCTCCATGTCAATCACGGTCAGTTTTGTTTGTATTCGCTACCTTGTGCTATCTATGTTTTTTCATGCCTTGTTTTTGTGCTCATCGGCTTTGGAATAAAGCTCGCCTTTTGTTTATAGACCTTTTTCCTTTTTGAAGTCTGCATTTGGGTCCTACCTTTTTCCACGCTACCTAACAGAACTAAGAGTAGGCTACTGATATGTCTACCATTTCTTTTATGAGTGTAATATCTGCATTTTCTATTTTGGTTTGATTAGGACACATCCTGGGGATTGTGTTTACAAACATTGACCATACCGTTCACCATCCCCCACCCCCCTACTGTATGTTGATTTTTGACTTTGTTTGCCTACATGTAAATGGGTGGCATTTAGTACCTACCCCCCTCTGAGTACACACTCAGTCCTGTTGACTTCACATCTTGTCACAAACTTTTTTGGAAGACAAGACTGACCCAAGATACCTTGGTTTGAATTGGAGAAGGGCAATGGTTATCGATGGTGCTTTTAAAGCCTATTGTATACTAACTGTGATTTATATTGCTTTTCAAATGCATATAGGCCCCCCATTTACACTGCTCTTCCCGTCAAGAATATGAATAGAACTTAGTTAGATCACTTTACATTTCTGCGAATGAATAGCTTAGCTACTTGGCACTAAGAGTACAGATATGTCTACCCTTTCTTTTCAGAGTGTAATATCTGCATTTTCTCTTTTGGTTTGAATTGGAGAAGGGCAATGGTTATCGATGGTGCTTTTAAAGCCTATTGTATACTAACTGTGATTTATATTGCTTTTCAAATGCATATAGGCCACTATTTACACTGCTCTTCCCGTCAAGAATATGAATAGTTAGTTAGCCAAGAGGCTATTGTTCATCTGTAGTTAGTTAGATTTTAAAAGTCAATCTAAAACACATTTCATTTTAAACAAGTAAATACAATACATTTAAAACATGCAACATACACTGTAAACAAAATCTGTAATCTAGGCAGTAAATTGCTGTATTACCCACAGTCATTTACTTTGAATTTGTAATACAGTGTGATACTGTACATTATGCTGCATTGTGGGAATATTATCCTTAGGCGGGAAATGTATACAGCACTTTAAAACCATACTGTAATATTACAGCAATACTGTAATGTTACCGTACAGTAACATTACAGTATTGCTGCACTATGTACATAGTACTGCTGCATTGTGGGAATATTATCCTTAGGCGGGAAATGTATACAGCACTTTAAAACCATACTGTAATATTACAGCAATACTGTAATGTTACCGTACAGTAACATTACAGTATTGCTGCACTATGTACATAGTACTGCTGCATTGTGGGAATATTATCCTTAGGCGGGAAATGTATACAGCAATTAAAAAATGATACTGTAATATTACAGCAATACTGTAAATAGTGCTGTCATGTTACAGTATCATTTTGTTGTTACTGTACAATATTTCGGGGTGAAAATATCAGGAGCAAGAGGAGAGAACCGCTGTGACCTTTAACGGATTATTTAGGTTTATAAAAGTTATTATTGCTGTTTTTTTCCCTCTAAAAGTTCGTATTTTATTTCGAGATTGAGTAGCAGTATTATATGGTTTAACAGCTTCAACAGTCAGCGAACCAAATGGAGGACAGAGATTCAGAATGTCCTCACCCAAATCAAGGAGGAATCCTCCAACCAAGATCTCTCTGCAATTCTGGTCATGATGGCACATTTCAAGGAAAAAGAAGAGGTTATTTTCCTTTTGGCTGATGTAAGTGGAGTTATACATTATGATCTTGTGCAATGAAAATGTAATAATTTATGCCTTTCAAAAATTACATTGTATTGTACATTAATTTGAACATATTATTGTGTGTGTGTGTAGGACTGCAACCAAGGATGAAATTGAGGCTCAACTGACCCTACCAGGCACACCAAGGCTCATCATGTTAGGTAAGGATTTGGTTTGACACTTTACTTTTGACATGTAAAGCTAACATGTATTTTAATTCCACATGTTTTGTATGTGTGCTTCATACATGTATGATCTCTATAGTATTTAATTTTTCAGTTTTGAAGTAGAAAACATTTTCAATGATATGTTGCCTTTTCCATTTTGTCCCCTTCTCTTGCAGGGGACCCTTTTACTTTCACATAATTACAGAAGATGTACTGTTGTGATCTGATGTTGTGACCTCACTACTTGTGATTTTGTATTTTAATTGGTCTGTTGTATTTTAATCTGTCATAAACTGTTGTATTTTAATCTGTCATAAACTGTTGTATTTTAATCTGTCATAAACTGTTGTATTTATATCAGTTATGAACTGTTATATTTATATCTGTTATGAACTGTCCTATTTTACCATGTTTTTCATATTGAACTTAATATTGAAATGAAATCAATAAACATATTTTATTTAAATTGTATCCCAGTTTTTGTTTATCGTTTCATGTAGCACCTATTGCAAATGAGACAAGGATCTAAAATTGGTTAAGGAGAAAACTGCAGTAATATACTGTTTTTATTGCATACACTACTGTAAAATTATACTGTATACAGAACAGTAATGTATTATTTCACAATACCAGTATTGTATAATCACAGTAAAATATTGTTTTTGAGATTACAGCAACATACAAAATTACAGTAATATACAGTAATATAATATACTGTAAACAAAATAGAAGATCGCTACTGTAAAGTAAAAATACAGTAACTTCTTGGCAACTGTGCTGCCAGTAATTTACTGTAAAATCCCCTGTATTTATTTTTACAGTGTACATTACTGGGATACTTAAATAAAACAATTTAAAATACAGAACATTAAAACAAAACGAATAAAACAAAACAACATGTTAAAACACAGGCAGTGAGTGGGTTGTAAGGAGCAGAAGATTGGGTCAGTGTTGGCAGAGCGTCTCCCCATCCCATTCAAATTCTTGACTGAAAGAGCCTACAGTACATGTAAATGGATAGCATTGCCTATATGCATTTGAAAATAATTAGTACCCCCCCTCTGAGTGACTACGTGTTGAGTTCACATCTTGACTTTACTTCCTGATTTTTGGAAGGCAAGACTGACCCAAGATACCTGTACATAGTGGAAAGTGAAATTGACATTGTCAAATTTAATAAAAATACAAAATAATGTTCACATTTGGGAACCGATGGGAAACAGGACTCAATCTTTTGCTTCACATTGAGGGGAAGAGGCATTTTCCCATTGGTCCCAGTCCAGTTGGTTCTTTTCACCATTCTCCCATATGCTACAAATGGCTGTCTAGCCCTGTTTGTTTTTTTGACCTTTCAGATGTTGTATGGCCTCTGGAGCAGAAATGAAAGAGTTTTAAAAATGTTTACGTTTTGGTAAGTTTTTAGGGAAATGTTGTAATATTGCAACGTTGGCCTTAGGTGGGAGCAGAATTTCTGTACTTCTACTCACATTGTCTGAATAAATATATTGAACAACTAAGGGTTAATTTGCAGGATTGATTGCTTACTTAGCCCTATATCAGTATATAGCATGAATAATAATCACACATCAGTCATATTTGTTATGAATAATCATTTATCATTTATTAAATAGTAAGTCGCTTTGGATAAAAGCATCAGCTAAATGCAATTTAAGAAAGCCTCACTCAGGATTTTTTTACCAAGTGTTTTTATTGCTCTTGGGGCATTAAAAACAAGATTTTAACTTTAGTTTTTTATATAATATCTGCATTTTCTCTTTTGAAAAACTAAGTCTTAGTTTGGCCATAGTTTGGACACTCATTTTTAATCACACACGTCTCCCCATCCCATTCTTGACTGAGCCTATATGCATTTGAAAATAAATAGTAGCTACCCCCCTCTGAGTGACTACCTGTTGACTTCACATCTTGTACTGTGATCTGCTTGCACTTATCAAAACATTTAATTAGGAGCAAAACACACACTTCAAGTCAGATCATCACCCTTAGCTATTTTAATTACCTCTCAAACAACCTAAACTAGTTATAAATGTTTATTTTTACTGTCGGCCGGGTCAGCTGCTGCATGAGACAGACACTGAAAAGTATTATCATCTGAAATTAATCATTATGTTATTAGTATTAAATACATATAAGTATTTTTACAGCTTGTATTTTTTTACCAAGTGTTTTTATTGCTCTTGGGGCATTAAAAACAAGATTTTAACTTTAGTTTTTTATATAATATCTGCATTTTCTCTTTTGAAAAACTAAGTCTTAGTTTGGCCATAGTGATTTAATATATAAAGACTATATATTATTGAATTACAAGATTAGATATACTTTATTTGATCTAAAATATTGATGTGTTCAAATGCTCTTCAAAACTGAAAGTCCATGACAAGTTGTCTTCCTGTTTTTGTGAATGAAGCGCCATCTCCTGGTTAAATCCTGAAATTGAAAATCTGGCAACGCCCTCTTGGAAAATAGTGGGAGGGCTTAACATTCCCAGATACTGGTCTTTGGCAGGTCTTAGGCAGGTAGCAGGCAGGAAGCTGTATGCTGGAGTCTGAAATAAGCTGCTCCATCTGTACCTGTCCATCAAAGTGACCACGCCCTAATTTATGAAAAAACTTTAAGACCTAATATAAATAAAAGGGTTGTGTTAAAAAACAATTCACTCACAGATTCATAATCATGAAGGTGGAATCTAACTATATCTATAATAATATTTATTGGATCCATGGGTAGAAACATGTGTTTTTATGCTGTAAAATTGGGCATTTTAACATGGGGTCTATGGAAATTGCTCCTTTCTGCAGTCAGCGCCTATCGGCCAATATATGAACTGCAGTTTGTGGCACTTGCGTATTGGCGTCCCGGCTCTTGTTGGAGCAGAACACCTATTGGGTGGCTGAGAGCCCCCCCTCTGCTGCACGCCGTTCGTTGAATGAGGCTGATCTCTATTAAATAAAGAAAGGAATTGAAAACACCGGAATCAAAAGTTATAACAATTATCTGAGTTTACTCTGGTAGGAAACCAAACACATATACAAGTTATACAGAGTACTCCGGACTTCAGGTTTGTGATGCGATGCGGATAAAGGTGTCGGGACCCGCCAACTCATCAAACAAGAAGAAATTGACTTCAGGTTTGTGATGCGATGCGGACACAGATATCGGGACCTGCCAACTCACCAAACAAGAAAGCATTTTACATTCAAAAACAACAGTATTCATAATCATATTTTGGGGCGGAGATGTGTTTACTTTTCCCTTCCCCTTTTACTCCACAGCGAATTAGAGAGTCCGTGAGGAGGAGCTGTGTGAGCTGCTCACATCCCCCAGGTGTTTTTACTGGTTGGATTCACTTCTGGTCGGGTTCAATACAGTGAATCAGAGTTCTGACCAGAACGTGAGATTCTAAAGTTTCACAAGGTCAAAGTCAATCTTATCTCTGCCCCGATATTCACTCCCTTACTTTCCTATGGGAGTTTTTCACATAAATTATTCTTTCTCATACAATTAAACCTTTGTGCACAAATATAATGATGTCCATAAGGACCTTGAGAAGAACATGTGTGTGCGCTGGTGAAAAGGAGGTGTGTGTGAAACAGGATCTCTGTGTCAGTGAGTTGTAAGTGAGAATATCATTTCTATATATGTGATTACTTAAAACAGTTCAAACAATACATGTTCACTAAAATACAATTCAAAATAATACATGTTCACTTCAATACAGTGTAGAATCATATCTTTTTACTTCACTCTTCCCCAGAGTTTGCCGCTTGGGTAATAAGAAAGGCTCTGAATTAGCCCTGAGCGAAAAAATGCTAACGCAATTAGCACAGAACTCAGGGTAAAATACCCTTATTACTTATCGTATCTGCACAAACAAGATATCGATTAGCAAGCTGAGATTCCACAGATTCCAGACATATAAGTATCATCACTGAGCGATCAGAACTCGCGACAGGGGAAACAAAACCAGACATCACACCACGTAGCATTACGGAGCAAACACGGGAGAAATTCTTACCTATGCTGTTGTTCTGATCAAAAGTTGTGTTCAATGGCATTACAACGATAAAAACGCTGCTGAAGATTAATCCATAGGTTAATCCAATGTGTCTGTGTCACTTTGAAATGATGACTGATAATCCATCTTCATATTTATGTCAATAACGGAGATTTCATATTAGCTGCTACGCGAGTGTATGACAGCTTCCGGTTTTGGGCATTCTGGCTGCGCATCACTCATTCACCAATGGGTAATGGTTAGATGGATTTTAGGAACTTCCCCTCGATTCTATTGGCTCTAACGGTTAAAAAGGTGTCAATCATCAAAATCGACCAAGGGGGGCCAGACATATGGAAAATGCACCCATTTTTACCATGTTCAATCTGAATTTACTTTCAAATAAAAAACATCTATATTGATTCTGACTTTTCTACATCCAGCTCACAGGTTTATCATTGCTTTGAGAAAAAAGATTATTAATGTACCCCTTTTAGAAGTGAAGATATAGTCAATTGTTCTGGGAATGTCATTTTCGAGCCTGAGGCCTGAAAAACAGGCTTGGGGCTCAACTGGTTAAGCCAGATAACTCAAACATATCCAGGGTATGTTGAACTGGATTCGTAGTACAGGGAACAGGAACCAAACCACCATTAAACGACGACCAACTGACAAGGGACACAAGGGCAAGCAAGACTAAATACACAAGGGTAATCACAAGACAAGACACAGCTGGAGAGGGGAGGTGAAACACAGGGGCAACAGGTGAACACAATCAGACAATCAGACAGGAGGGAAAACACAGACAGGAAGCAAAGGCAAACATGAGACAGGGGGTGAACACCTTTCAAAGTAAAACGGGAAACAAAGACAGATCTTGACATTACAAAATAAAACTGAAAATAAACAAATCCTAACAATCTTACTCCACTACAATTCAGAGGTTATAGACAGGGTCAATTTTCACAAAATCAGAACCCTGAAGGCATTTTGTGTTTATTTATGCTATACAACATTTATAGGGGTATTAAGGGGTGCTGAATCCAAATCTGCTGTATATGAAGCTCAAAAATGTCCCAAAATGCCTCAAAATTGAGAAATCCAACATGGCCGCCACCACCAGCCTGAAATCTATTTTAAGTATATCTTTTTGACTAAACAAGGTACAAACTTGAATTAAATGTGCTTTTGTAAGTTCTCCTACATGGGCAATCTGATGCCATATTCAGATTTGAGATGTAATGTGAATAACCTGCTTAGATCTCATATATATTGCAAAAATAGTCGTTTTT